CCTTCAGTCGGCCGCCCTGACTCGCTGTAGCCCCCAGGATGGTGGTGCTGTGGAAGCGGGGCTCGGGGCGGGCCCCCACCGTTGCGCCCCGCACTCGGCGTGAGTCCTCTGCGGCGGCCGGGCCGCCTCCCGCCGGCCCCGTGGGTGGGGCCCCCCAAGTCGCCTCCAGGGCTCCGGACCCCCGAGACCCTGCTGCCCTCACCCGACAGCCCCGGATGGGCTCAGTTTCCCGGGAGACAGGAGCGTTTCCAGCCGCCTCAGGCCGCCGGCAGGTGGCAGGAATGGGCCGTTGGCCGTCGGCTCCCGGGGAGGGACAGCGGGCCGCCGGCCAGCGTGGCGGGGCGGGGGGACGGGTGCGGAGAGGAGGGGCGCCGGGCTATAGTAGCCCTCCGTCCTCGCTCAGACAGGGTGGTTTCACGATGCTAGTTAATCTTAGTTCACCCCAATAATAACGTATAAACAGAAAAGTTATACTAAAAAAGGCCAGAAAATCCCGTGCCCTGTCCCTTAGCGGGTCTCGCCCGCGGGCTCTCGGCCATGCCCTGCGTCAGCGTTGCTGCCGGCCGGCCCTCACCGGGCCAGCCGTGGCCCGCCCACTCACACTCGCCCTCGTTAACTTTATTCTGGACGATTCCGAGGCCTGAGGCCCTGGTCAGGCCGTGCTTGGTGACCAGGAGCCAGGCCAATGAGGTTGCCCCTGGCAGTGTGGCCACCCGCCCCCTCTGCGGGGCTCTCAGAGGCCGGCCCCTGCCAGGGCAGCCGTGCTGGGGCGGCGGGGGTGGGGGGCCTGGATCCCACCGCTCTGTCCCAGGAGCCCGATCTCTCTGAAGACAGGGTGGCGGCTCCCCAGCCCTTCGGGCCCTAGGTGCCACCCCACCCCCAGCCCAGGTCATGGGCAGCAGGTCTTGGGTGGGGGGCTGGACTGGGAATCTGTCCTGCCCCGGCCACACTGCCTCCGGCCTCCAGCCAGCACATCAGTTAAGCTGCCGCCTTCACACTAGTCATTAAGTTGTCCTGTGGGACAATGAGATTAGCGAAGCCAGAAGAATGCCAGGCACTGGGTTTCTGTTTGGAGAGAGCTTTCGGTAAACAGAGCTGCATTCCTGCAGATTCCGCAGGACCAGTGCAAACACGCCCGTGGCCCCAGCAGCCCCTGCGGGCCCTGCTCCGCCCAGGCAGGTGCCCTGGGGCAGCTCCAGCCCCGGCGGGGCCGGGGCGGCGGGGCCGTCAGTCAGCCGGGGTCAGGCCCGGGCGCCCCAGCCTGGCGGCCGCGTGGCGCTGACCGAGATGTTCTGGAGGTAAATCAGCTCTCGGGAGGTCTGGGGACAGTTTTGTCGCCTCGCCTCAACATGTCGGTGTGGCGTGTCGTTCAGACCCTGAAGGCCATGCTGGACAGCCTTCGGCCTGCGGCCCCTGCTCCGGCTGGCGCTCGCTGCCCCCGAGAGCGGTGCCGGCCTCCGGGGCTGCGGTGATCCCTTGTGGCCAGCAGGGCTGCTGCCCTCGGATCTGGCTCCCTGGCCGGCGCCCTGCCGTCCTGGCCGCTGGCCCGCAGCACGGGGCCGGGTCTCTGGCCCGGAGGGAGGGTGTGAGGGGCCTTTTCCTTTTTCCTCTTCCCTGCCCCAGCAGGCCCAGGAGGGCTGGCCTGGGAATTGGGGCTCCAGGGCCGCCCCTTCACCGAGGTCTGGTGACGACACTTGGAGACAAGCTCACACACGCACGCCCCGGGGCGAGGCTGAGCACAGGCCGAGGCCTTGTCTTCCCGGCGGGCGCCCTTTCTCTGTCGTCAGCCCCAAAGGGTGCCACCTGGGGCTCCCCTCGGGTCTCTAGGGCCTACAAACCACAACATGTCCAGTTGATGGTGTCCACTGCCCCCCTCGGCCACGCAGCTGTTTGGGTCATGGCCACTGCCCAGGCCCTCCTGCGTGTACACAGGGACCCCAGGCCGAGGTCTCAGCCAGGCCTGTCCTGCGGTGCCCCCTCGCCCCTCCCCTGCAGGCTGGGCACTTGGGACCGCCTTCCTTGCAGAGCGGGAGGACAGTTGAACTTGGTCCTCCTTGCTGGACAGGTTCAGAGGCCTGAGCAGGCCGGGGGCCTTGCCCAAGGCCGCCTGACCGGCGTGGCCCCCGGGTAAGGAGGAGCCGGCAGACTGGCCGCAGGGCTGGGCCGGCTGGGCCGCTCCCCGACGCGGCTGGG